CAAAAATCAATTTGCAATGAGCCTGATCTATCTACTTTTAGTGTTTTGTGTCTTCTGCTCTTTGTTAGAGCTTGTTCATTCTCAGAGTTTCCCTTACGTTTCATTCCTGGGAGAAACTCTAGCCAACCATTCTTACGTGAACCTTAGTCTAGTAGGAAGTAGTGAGATTGACAGTGTGAGGTGCCACACTGACCTGTCAACATGTTGCAGTGCTAGTGAAGGTGTTCATCGTGGAGACTGGTACTTTCCTGATGGAGCTAGACTACCATTCTTTGGTGATGGAGATGTATATGAGTATCATGAAGCCAGAAGAGTTGATCTCCGTAGTGTAACCTCTGCTAGCTCACCTGCTGGTATGTATCGCTGTGATATCCCAACTAATGCTGTTCATGATGATACTGACATCTCTGTGAGGGAAACTGTCTATGTTGGGCTATTCCCCAGTGAAGGAGGCAAGATGCACACACCAGTCCTGCCACCAGTATTTTTCATAGCTCTTGTTATTCTAATTAGGTGAATTATCTCTTGTCTTGAATATGAGCGACATCATGAATGGTCACTTCACCATCACCTGCATCTCCTCTGGTGGACCTGCTACTAATGTTACTTGGACCAGAGACTCTGTCGCTGTCAATGAAGGAACTGAAACTGTGTTAGATGATCCTGTGCTATCACAGTACACCCACACACTGAGTGGGAATACTGCGGGAGTGTATGCATGCACTGTATCAAATAACAAGCCATCTACTGTTTCAGCAAGCATAACAGTGGCAGGTACGCTGCAGTGTTATACAATAGGATCCTAGGTTCATTCATAACTTTAGGTGTTCCATGTCTAACTGGAACAACTGGCATTGACTGTTCAAATGGTAAAAGCTTCAATAACCACACCTACAGTATTATTGTTTCCACATAATTTACAGCGGTCGATTGTGGTACAATTGAACCCCCGGTAAACGGAACAGTCTCATTCTCAAGTACCACCTACAATTCAACAGCTTCTTTCTCCTGCAATGATGGCTACATGCTTGCTGGAGATGAAACTATAACATGTCTTGCATCTGGAGTGTGGTCAATAGACACTTACGCAGTTTGTGCACGTAAGTATCATACAGTTATCGTACTGTTTGTGTGATAATTACAGGTATATAACTAGAAGATGGAGCATGAACATTAAAGTGTAGGTGTAGCTAGATACAAAGGTAATGGCATTGAGCAGTAAGTACACCCTGATGCTCCCACGTACTAGTAAACTGATAGAGGTTTAAGACTGGAATGTATCTAACATGAGACTCTTAGATTACACAAATGCCCCATTAAACTGTCATGGGTATATAATTCCCAAAGAATTTTACTGAGCCACACGGGAATGGATCAGTTTCGTGCACTTAGCTACTACACCTCAGTGGCCAGCTATTCCTGTATGTTTCAGTGCAGGAGAATATGAGCATATTAT